ACAAAGAACACACGACTCCTTCAAAATAAAACAGGAAACATGAGACAGACATGATAATACAAACTTGATAACATAAGACACGCAGCATGAAACATAAAGGGTGAGGGGAAACTTAAATACAGGGGAAGAAAACACAAGGAGTCTAATAACCAAATGAACTTAGATAACCTAATGAACAAAATAAACTTAAAACGCTGGGTCAGAAGACCCAGGATCATGACAAGAAGACTATTAACTGATGTTAATACATCTGTAAAATGACAATCAGAAACTATTCCACAACTCAAAAGTATAAAAGAATACTGTCAATGGAAAATTGTACTTAGTAGTCAGTATAATCTTTTAATGATATAAGTTTGCATATGGTAGAATACTGCATGTAATCACTTGTGTGTAGAAGTATATAGTTGGTGGCATATTGAAAGAATGTCTCATGGAGGTCAGTGACATTCTAGGGTGTTCTGGCTTCACCCCACATCCTGGGAGCATGGGAGAGGGCGTAGCTTGTCTTATTGTTTTACGGTAGAATTAAGGTAGCTATATCTGTCTTAGTTAGTCCAGTTTAGTTTAGTTTTAGTCCACTTGAAGCTGGTTCCAGAAGTGCTTCAGTCCCCACAGACTCCCAAAATGTCCCCAATAATACATAAATGTGACGAGTGATACTTGGCACGGTCACGTTAAAGGATAAAGGACATGAATGTCTCTCTTGATGTCTGCAGTTTTGCTCATGAGACAAAGCAGGACTGTTTCTCGTCTGTAGTCAGAAGTTTTTCTTTCAGCGCATTAATTTCTGTTTCGTGTTTTTTCTGCATTTCTTCCAGTTCCTTCCTGGTACTGTCGTCATCTTGGGTCCCGAGTTTCTGTTTTAGTTCATTAATTTCTTTTTCCTGTTTCTTCTGCAGCTCATCAAGTTGTTCTTTCTCATTTTTTTCATTTTCTTTCAGAAGCTTTTGTTTGAAATTGTCCAGTTTTTGCTCGTGTTCTTCTTTTAGTTTACCCAATTTTTCCTTTTTATTTTGTTGCTGCTTTGTTAAAAGAGTTTGCTTCAAATCACAAATTTCTTTTTCATGTTGGATGGACAGCTTTCTCCTTTCTGTCTCCCAGTCGTCTTTGTTTTGGGTCAAAAGCTGTTTCCTGAATCCTTTCATTTTTTCTCTTTGTTTCTTCTTTAGTTTGCCAATTGCTTCCTTCTCTTCTTCCTTTTTCTCATTTGAAAGATCCTTTTTAAGCTTCTCTTCCTCTTTTCTGTGTGATTCCTGCATACTTGTAATTTTTTTCTTGTTTTCCTGCTTTTGACTCAGGAGCATCAGGACTAAATCAGCCATTTCTGATTTATGTTTACCCTGCAGAACATCTATTTCCTGCTTCAGACTTTCTTTGTAGTCTGACAGATCCTTTAATCTTTCATATTCCTCCATTTTTCCCAGCAGGTCTTTCTGATGTTGCTCCTTTAGATCCGTCACCTCCTCCATGAGTTTTTCTATCACAGCTTCATTTTTTTCTCTGAATTCGTTGAACTCTTCAGCTGTTTGTCTGGCCTCTTCTTTAAACTTCTCCATGTCTTCCTGCATGCTTTCAATTTCTTTCTTATAGTTTTCCTCCAACTCTTTTAGTTTCTCTTCTTGTTCTATTTTGATTTCATCCTCTTTTTCTTTTTCACGTTCATATTTGCCTTTTACTTGGTTGTATTCTTCTTGGAGCTTCCTGAGTTTCTGCTCTTTCTGTTCATCATCTTGGTTTTGTTTTTCTTTCAGTTGATCCTGCTCTCTTATATTTTCTTTGTACTGTTCAAGCTCCCTGTTAATCATTTCCTTTGATTCTGACTCTGATCGTAGTTCTTTCTCCAATTCTTGAATTTTTTGTTCCCATCCTTGTCTTTTAAGTTCTTCTGTTTCTCTCTCTTTCTTTCTAGTTTCTTGTTCTTTCTTTCTCTCTTCAGACTGAAAGTCAATGCTTTCCTGTAACTGCCTGAGTTGCTCATCTCTCTGTTCATTTTCTTTTCTTTGCTCTTCCATTTGTCTTTTCATTGATTTCATTTCTTCCTGGTGTTTTCTTTCGAGTTCCTCCCTCTGTCTCTTCATCTCTTCTTCCTTCTCTTTCAGCAGCTTCTCCATTTGTTTCTTTATTGCTGCTTCAGCTTCTTGCAGCATCTCATTGGTGAAGCATTTTCCTCCATTTTTGTTCAGCATGGTTTCAATCTTTTTTATCAGCTCACTGACTTGTGTGTGGTTTTTTTTCTCATGGTTTTTGAACACATGGTATCTTGCTTCACAGTGAGTGATTAGATTTTTAAAGGAATCCTCACATGCATGTTTAATGTAGTCTTCAATAGACTGTTCATGATGTTCGAGTGTATCTCCTCCTGTGAAAAGAATGATGGTGAATTTCTCTGAATTTTTCCCAAAGACTTTCTTGATCAGCTTCAGAGTCTCCTTCTCCTCTGGTGTTAGTCGGCCAATCTGCAACACCAACAGGAAGACATGTGGTCCTGGAGCCAGAAGACTGATGCACTTACTCATCTCCTCACAGACCTCTTCATGTGACAAAGTCGAGTCAAAGAGTCCAGGAGTGTCGAGCACGACAACAGGACGACCGTCCACGTCACCCTCTGCTTTCTGACACTGTTTGGTGACTGATGTCTGGCTTGCGCCAGCTGTGAACTCTTTTCTTCCTAGAATGGTGTTTCCTGAGGAGCTCTTTCCACTGCCGGTCTTTCCGATCAGCACAATCCTGAGACGGTCTGAGCTCTGCTTCTCTTCATCCACTGTAAGTTAAGAGTACATAGTTATTGAAAGGTAATCCTAACTAACTGAAATAATCTTTCAGTACCATCTAATTTTGAGTTAGATGTACAAAAACATTTAATACCAGGACATCAAATACTGCCACTGACTGAACATTATTGTTATCCGTTACAAAAAACCCCAACTAAAAGACAAAAACTGTGATACATGACTTAGTGATGAATGAGAACAAAGTCAAAACAGTCAGCCAAGCGTACACTGTATCCCTTAGGAACAAGTTTTGTTTTTCTCAATCGCTTATTCTTTTAGCTCACAGGTCATGTTTGGTATTAAAGACCATGTTAAATAATTTCAAAAGGTTGTTGTTTAGATTACCATCCATCCCTTCACACAATTACAATAAAAAAATGAAAGCTGCAAGCAGCGTTATGAGCACCCCGGCGTGTCGAGCCACGCCCAACACCTAAAACCAGCACGTCCGATCTGATGTCACATTGATGGAATTCATGCATTTAACCACCAGCTAACATTTCATCTCATTCAACCATGATTATAGTTGTCCCACTAGGTGGTGCTCTAACCATTACTGACAAATGGCATAACAAACATTTCCGAGGTCGAGTCTCATCACACCTGCGACCTTTGGGAGAGATTGGATATTGTGTTTTTGAGTGACAGCAGATTACTGCTTTTTGGCGAGTGATTGAAACCCCAAGTACCGCCATGACCACCCCGTTTTCCTGAACGTAAAAAGCTTCGCAATTTAACATCACAAAGGTCTTTAGATTCCACAAACTGCAGATCGGTCCAATCTGATGAAATCCCTTGGAGGAGTTCGTCAAAGTACGAGGCCTGAAAGGAGGGGAAAATGTCGCCAAAATTACACATTAATTTTAAAATGGCTGACTTCCTGTTGGATTTGGGATATTGCTCCAAGAGACTTTTTTGTACATCTTGATATCTTCCATAAGCTTACGAGGTTTCAGACTCATAGATAAAACACGCGCTGTGGAGCCATTTTGCGCTATTCAAGGAAAGTGATCACATAACAACAAAGCCTTCATCACATTGGAGGTGTGCGCCAAATTTCAAGACTTTTTAAACTTTCCAAGCCCCTCAAAAGCTACTTCATTTTTCATGGTGAACCGCGTTACCACCAGGGTGCGCCGTTCAGTTTAAAGTCACAATTTTCTCACTGAAGGATCAAGAGGGACTCATGGTGATATTCACCGCTTTTGAGGTGTCCACGATGAACCTGTGAAAATCAGTACAACAAAGTGAAAGCCATGACATTTCCTGTTGCCACTAGGTGGCGCTGTGCGTATTCCTGACAATGGGCACATCAATCTGTTCAGGGCGGGTCTGACATCATGCCTGTAAAGTCTGGTACTGATCAGACTGGATTTCATTGAGTTATACTAATTTGTTTCTTCATGGCAAGACATCAAAGTTCGCCATGCTGCTGAGGTCACACCCTTTCGCGAAAACTCAGTTTTCACTGTAACCCAAGACCAACTCCTTAAGGCTTTCCTGGAGAAATTTGAGGCTGCAGATGTCACCCATCACAATACTGTACCCCAAAGTGTAAAACATGACATTTCCTGTTCCCACTAAGTGGCGCTGTCCCCGATAACAAATATGGCAGTTGAAATATGTTCAGGGGTGGAGCCTTATCATATGTGTGCTCTTTGGTCCAGATTGGACAATGTATGATAGAATGAGAGGCAACAAGATTTTCATGGTGAGTCATCAAAATTCGCCATGGCGTCACCCCCTCACCGTATCACGAAAACTCAAAAGCTCCGCAATTTAACATGGTCCAGGTGTGTAGTTGACACTGACCAAAGATGAAGCTTATACGACCAAATCCCAAGGAGGAGTTCGAAAAAGTTCGAGGCATGGAAATGGCAAAATT